GAACTCCCCCTCACCACCCCCACCCCATGCGTCTATTTCACACACAACAGCCTGACTAGGTGGCTCAGTGGCTAAGACAACTGAGCCCGTCGATCAGAAAGATCGGCAGTGTCCCGCGGGTTCGAATCCCTAGTACGGGTCTCCTGCGTGAGCAGGGGGTTGGACTAGATGACCTCCAAGTTCCCTTCCAACTCTGTTACTGTTAACTCCCAATAAAAGTTTTGCCCAGACTTATCCTTCTCCGCCTCTTTCCCAACCCCAGGCGCACAACCTGAGCGAGAAGGGGACCCAAAATGCACGTTCCCTTTCCTCCCTGCCTGCCCCGAGGCCTCGCCAATTCTTTTTTTTAAAAGAGCCCTCGGCTTTGCCTGCAATCCCTCCCGACCGTTCCCAGCCGGCTCTCCTCCGTCTTGCCGATCGTGGGAAAGGAAAAAAGAGGGAGTTGCGTCCACAGGCTAATTTAGCAGCGGGCGTCGGGTTGGAGACGGGGAGAAGGCGAAGGCGAAAGGAAGAGGAGGAGGAGGAGGAGGAGGAAAAGAAGAAGAAGAAGAAGAAGAAGAAGAAGAGAAGAAGAAGAAGAAGAAGAAGAAGAGAAGAAAAGAAGAAGAAGAAGAAGAAGAAGAAGAAGAAGAAGAAGAAGAAGAAGAAGAAGAAGGAAAAGGGGACTGAAATGGCAACATTTGGAGGTCGGGAAGAGCGCAGTCGAAAGTATCGAGGCGCACGGAGGTCGGGAGAAACGTGCCCGGGAGATCAAGGGATCTCTTCGGGGGGATCGGTCGCTGGACGCTCCCACTGGCGTCTTTCCTCGCCGATCCGCAGTCCCGGATCGGAGTTTCCACGTGGAGAGGGACTGTCGCGCATCAAGAGTTCAAGAACGACCAGGCATTCCCAACGGGAAGAGGAGTAACCGGTGGGAACGCAAGGCTCTCCAACTTCCAGCAAACAATTCCCGCAAAAAAGAAAGAAAGAAAAGAGAGAGAGAGAGAGAGAGAGAGAGAGAGAGAGAGAGAGAGAGAGAGAGAGAGAGAGAGAGAGAGAAAGAAAGAAAGAAAGAAAGAAAGAAAGAAAGAAAGAAAGAAAGAAAGAAAGAAAGAAAGAAAGAAAAACTCCGACTTGTCCTTCCAACTTTGTACCCCGGCCCCGCTCCCCCGGCTCTACTTTGCCCCTTACCCTTTCCTTCCCGGCAACGTGCGATCCTCCTTGCCCGCCACGCGGTTCTTCCTCTTTTGCGCCTCTCAAAACCGATCGCTTCTCCTCGGCTCGGCTTCGCTTCTGATTCATCCGAAGCAGCTGAGAGGCGGATTTTTAAAAAGGAGGAGATTCCCCCGCCCCGCCCCTTTCCCCGCGCGCCATATAAGGGAGTTCCAGGCCAAGCGTGGGAATTTCCGAGCAACGGGGGCCCGCCAAGGGCAGGCGATAGGGGGCGCTGCGGCTCCTCGCCCGGGGTGGTGGAGACCCCTGCCGCGCGGAAAAAAAGCCCCGTGGGTTATTTTAATCTTTTTTTTTTTTTGTATTATTATTATTATTATTATGCAGAGTGTTTCAATGAAGTGGGGAGTTGCGCAGGAGGTGGGACAAAAGGAAGGTACTTGGCGTTATCTTTCGCAGATGCAAATTCTGCCTAACTAATGTGACCTTCCTTTATTGATAAAGCCCATTTGCATTTGTTTATTTCCCGAAAGTTCCTTATTTATTTATTTTTTTTTAATTCTGTAACTCTTAGCAGTCCTTTTCAAATTTTAATCCCTAACAGACGGTCCCGCTTCGTTGTAAGGTCTTCCGCCTTCGGGTGCAAAAAATATATATATTGCAAATTGCATTGTCTTTCAAAAATATACACATTAACACTTTTTAAATGTTATACGTGTATTTATTTATTTACAAAATTTCGAGTCCTGCCCGTTTGGCTCTTGAGTGATTTTTTTTTTTATGAGCTGAGGTGCTTTTGTAAAGTTTTTTTTTTTAAAAAAACTATTTTTTATTTTAAAACAAAAATAAAACATAAAATCATCTTCATTCCAAACAATTACAGACAGTGTATCGATCAGTTAACATCCTTTTGTGCTCAATCCCATCTTCAAAATATCAATATATAACCAAAGCTTATTTTCATAAAAAAAAAAATTCACATATTTTATCTTAACTTCCACTTCATATTTCATATTTTATCTCCATGTTTTATTACCTATCCATTGATAAAATATATCCCATATCAAATAATATTGTTTATCTTCCTGTTCTCTTATTTCAAGTGTCAATTTACTTATTTCAACACAGTTCATCATTTTCTTAATGACTTCTTCATCAGTAGGTATCTTCTCTCCTTTCCAGTTTTTGGCAAATACAATTCTAGCCGCTGTTAAAACATTCACAATTGAATATTGTAAAGTTTTTTTTTTTCTTCCTCCCTTTGGCTCTTGAAGTTTGCTTTGTAAAGCAAAGTTTATAAACATAAAACAATTCAATTTTTTCCCCTTTATGTACCTCTTTCAGAGTTTGCCCCCTTTTCAGCTTTGCTCTTTACTGTATTTTTTTCCAAGAAAAAAAAAAATCTTTGCTGCAGTTAAACCTTAGTTCTGCAAGGTTTTAATTTATATTTATGTTTATTCCATATTTATTATTTAAAAATAAATATGGAATAAATAAATATTTTTAAATAAATATTTTTTAAAAAAACTCAAAACGTATCTAATATTCCTTCCTTCTCCTATTTTCCTCACAACAACCCTGTGAGGTGGCGTTGGGCTGAGAGAGACAGGCCCAAAGTTACCCAGCTAGTTTTTGTGCCTAAGGCAGGACTTAAACCTTTGTTCTGCGAGGTTTTAATTTATATTTATGTTTATTCCACGTTGATGATTTAAAAAAAAAAAAGAAGCAGCAAACATTTCCAGTACTCCTTCCTTCTCCTATTTTCCTCACAACAACATCCCCGTGAGGTGCGGTTGGGCTGAGAGAGACAGGCCCAAAGTCACCCAGCTGGCTTTCGTGCCTAAGGCAGGACTAGAACTCACTGGCTCTGATTTTCTAACCTGGTGCCTTTACCATTAGACCAAAGCTACCTATTAACAATTATATTTCACATGCTTTTAAATATTTGTATTTTTACAGAGAAATGTGAAGCGGTTGCAAATACAAAGATGAGAGACATGAGACCGAACAATGCAGAAGAGCTGAAGGCCGCTATTGAAGCATCCTGGTCTTCCATAACACCTCAGCAGTGCCACAGGCTGATAAGCATCCATGCAACGCCGCATTGAGGCAGTAATTGATGCAAAAGGGGCCCAAACCAAGCACTGAGTTCATATGCATGCTTATACTTTTCAGAGGTCCGATATTGTTCTATGTACAATCCTTGTTTTATTGATTTCATGTAACATTCTAATTTTCTGAGATTGTGAATTTGGGGTTTTCATGAGCTGTAAGCCATCATCATCAAAATTATGACAAATCAAGGCTTGAACTATCTCGCTTTGCATGTAATGAGTCTATCTCATATATTAGTTTCACCTTTTAAGTTGCATTACTGAAATAAATGAACTTTTGCACGATATTCTAATTTTTCGAGTTTCGCCTGTATATTATTTTATATCAATTGTTGCTGGTTACTTATGTGACCCAACAGGTTACAAGTCAAATCAGTTTGATGTTCAAATGTTTTATGAAAAGGCATGAAAATACACACAACCTTATTTTAAAAGTATGGAAATAAACAACTTCTAATTTGTAACCAGTTTTTTTTAAAAAACCTCTTCATGGGCCTTAGCACTGTTGTGCCTGATGGATAAATCCATGCTGGAGATAAGCAAAGGAGATTAAAAAGAAAAGGTTAAGGTGGGGGGGGGGGGGAGGGATGGAGAAATAATGTAAAAAGATCATGTCCCAAAGGTACTTTTTCAGGAGGCAACTGGAGTTTCTTAAAGTTTTTTTTTCCTTTGGGACAATTTGGGACAACCTTGACCTGGATGACTGAGAATCTCTACAGGCAAAAAGGCCATATTTGTTACTGCCAAAAAGCATTGAAAAGCAGATTTATTTTTTAATCTCTACCACCTCTGCGGATCTGCATTTCCTTATCTTAATAGCTATCAAATCTGTTAATGATCTTCCTTCTTTACATATGGAAATGATAGGAGTGATTATATTTTCCTTGTGACTATATGGTTAATGGTAAGGAAACGGTCACATTAAAACATAACTTTATTTATTTATTTTATTTCCAATTTCTATACCGCCCTTCTCCCTGAGGACTCGGGGCGGTGTACAGCCAGAATTAAAAACATGCAATACAAATATTAAAAAACAATTAAAATATATATAAATTTGGCCCAAAAATTAAAAATCACAACCAATTAAAACATTTAAAAATTTAAATTTTTTTTAACTTGCCTGTTAGCAGTGAGATTCAGCCTGGTGGCAGAGCTTAATGAAATAAGGGTGTTACCTCTATAGGTAGTCCTTGACTTATGTCGACCACAACTGAGCCCAACATTTCTGTTGCTAAGCAAGACAGTTGTTAAGTCAGCTTTGCCCCATTTTATAACCTCAGTTGTCACAGTTAAGTGAATCACTACAGTTGTGAAGTTAGCAACAATTCTTAAGTGAATCTGGCTTCCCCACTGATTTTGCTTGTGAGGTCGCAAAAAGGGGATGGAGGGACACCTGAGGACCCTGCAACGGTCATAAATATGGGGCGTCTGAATTTTGGTTACGTGGCCATGGGGATGCTGCAATGGTCATAAGTGTGAAAAACAGTTGTAAGTCACTTTTTTCAGTGCTATGGTAACTTTGAACGGTCACTAAATGAACTGTTGTAAGTTGAGGACTACCAATAATAACTGCCTGCGCAACACAATCAGATGTTTTTTGTGGTGCCAATTTTTATTTTAAGTGAGGCTCTTGTGTGCATAGAGTAGTATGCCAGCTTTTTCATATGACAAAACTTCTCTGCATCTATCAGCCCCTAAGCAAGCAGCTTTAAGCTTGCTGGGAAGGGAAGGGAAGGGAAGGGAAGGGAAGGGAAGGGAAGGGAAGGGAAGGGAAGGGAAGGGAAGGAGGGAGGGAGGGAGGGAAGGAAGGAAGGAAGGAGAGGGACAGGAAGGGAAGGAAAGGGGAGGGAAGGGGAGGGAAGAGAGAAAGGGTGGAAAGGAAAGGAGGGAGGAAGGAAGGAGAGGGAGGAAGAAGGAAGGAGAGGGAGGGAGGCGCAGGAAGGGAAAGGGAAGAAGGAAGGGGAGGGAAGAGAAAAAGGATGGAAAGGAAAGGAAAGGAGGGAGGGAGGAAGGAGAGGGAGGGAGGGAGAAGGAAGGAGAGGGAGGGAGGCACAGGAAGGGGAAGGGAAGTGTGAAGGGGAGGAAAGGGAAGGAAAGAGAGAAAAGGGTGGGAAGGAAAGAAAAGCAAAGGAAGGAGGAAGGGAGGAGAGGGGAGGGGAGGGAAGAGAGAAAGGGAGGGAAGGAAAGAAAAGGGAAGGAGAGAGAGGGAGAGATAGGAAGAGAGAAAGGGAGGGAAGGGAAAGAAAGAAAAAGAAAGGGAGGGAAGGAAGGAAGGAAAGAAAAAAAAAAGAAGAGGGAGGAATGAAAAAAAGAGAAAGAAGAAAAGAAGAGCTTTTTTTAAAAAAACCGAACGCCTCCAGGCTTCTTTATCCTCAGGGTTTTTCCCCCCCAGCTCCATCCCGTCTGTTACGGGGAAGGCGTGAGGATTTCCCAATTTCGCGGCGCTAAAGGATTTGCAAGACTCCGTGCCACGCGTGGCGTTAAGGCGAGCTCTGCCGTTTTTAATGGGCTTTTGCGCGTGGCGGGGCCGCTCCAGCGGAGGGGAAGGGGGAGTGGGGAGACCCAAATCCACTGAAAAAGACGGATTCAGGGCCCGAAGTCCGTCGCCCAGCGATACAGCGACCTGGAGAGGGGAAATAAATCCGAATTAATATCTTTGATCGGGGAAGAGCGGGCTGGCTCTAAGGCAGTGTTTCTCAACCTTGGAAGCTTGAAGATGGGTGGACTTCAACTCCCAGAATCCCCCAGCCAGCGCTGCTGGCTGGGGGATTCTGGAAGTTGAAGTCCACCCATCTTCAAGCTACCAAGGTTGAGAAACACTGCTCTAAGGTGACAACAGAGCTACTTTAGATAACTTTCCATCCACAAAGGCAGCTGCGTGGGTGGGTGGGAACAAAGCGGGAAGGCTTTTGCTCTTTCACAGGCATAATTGGGAAAATCGTGAAGATTTGTGTGCAACCCCGAAAGGACGGGTTGTTTTCCTTGGAGCGATTAAGGCGGAACGCATCGATGCCCTCTGGAGTTCCTCTTTTGGGACATTGTTATTGCAAACCTGGAGGCAGGGAACGCATGCGAGGAAAGGACGTGGAAAACGCCCCCTCGGTCACGAGTCTCTCGAGTGCCTGCAAGAAATCTAAACCCACTTTGAATGCCTTTCTTATCTCCCGCTAATTTCCCTTGACCCTTAGTAGGACAGGTTCTTGTAGAGAGCTTAAGCTCCCCGATAAATCTTTTATAGTCATTTGAAGTGGCTAGATCGCCTGATTTCCCTGGTCCTTGACAGCCCCCCACCCCCACCCCCTGGTCTAAGAACAGGGAAAGAGTCCAGGGTTTATTTGAGTTTGAGTTTATTTAGATTTATATACCTCCCTACTCCCGAAGGACTCAGGGTGGTGAACCGCCAAAGATAAAACAGATACAATATAAAATTTAAAAAACAATTTAAAAACATATTAAATAAATTTGGCCCATACTAATTAAAACACCCGTTTTTCAGAAAACAAATTAAAATTAAACAATTAAAAAAGAGTTAGGCCAGCCCCGCTTGTTGGAATAAAAAGTCTTGAGGGCACGGCGGAAAGTGCGTAAATCCGGGATCCTCCATATCTCCGGGGGGAGCTCGTTCCAAAGGGCAGGTGCCCCCACAGAGAAGGCTCTCCCCCTCGAGGCCGCCAGTTGACACTGTTTGATTGTAGGGCGGTTCGAATCCCTAGTAAAGGTCTCCTGCGTGAGTAGGGGGTTGGACTAAATGACCTCCAAGGTCCCTTCGGACTCTGTTCCTGTTACTGATCAGCTCTGAGATAACTCAGAGTTTTTGGAGACGCAAGTAAGATCACCCTGAGCAATTTGGCTATGGCAGCCAGAAGGACTCCAGCAAATATTATTTCTGTTTCCTTCTGTTCAGTTGTGTCTGCCTGGACAAGTTTTCTTGCAGTTTCCTTGGCAAGATTTTGGAAGTGGCTTGCCATTGCCTGCTTCTTGGGGCTGAGAGAGAATGACTGGCCCAAGGTCGGCCTCATCTTAACAGAATACAGATAGTCCTCCACTTACAACAGTTCATTTAGTGACCGTTCACAGTTGCGATGGCCCTGGGAAAAAGTGACATATGACCCATTTTTCATAGTTACAACCTTTGTAGCCTCCCCCATGGTTATGCGATCAAAATTCAGATGCTTGGCAACTGGTTCATACTTAGGACCATTGCTGTGTCCCGAGATCATGCGATCCTCTTTTGCGACCTTCGGACAAGCAGAAGCCAGATTCGCTTAACAACCGGGGTTATTAACTTATCAATTGCAGGGCTTCACTTAACAGCGGTGACAAGGAAGTTCGGAAAATGGGACAGAACTCACTTAACAAATGTGTCCCTTAAGAACAGAAATTTTGGGCTCAATTGTGGTCATAAGTCAAGGACTACTTGTAACAGAGCTATGACGGAAGGGACCTTGGAGGTCTTCTAGTCCGTCCCTCTGCTCAAGCAGGAAACTCTATACAAGTGACAGCGAAACTTTTCGGCACTGAATGCTAAAAAGGTTACGCGGAAACGTCGCGTGCGTGTGCACTCGTTGGGACCGTGCTCCGGAAAAGCCAACCTTCCAGGTTCTAGTGTGCATGGGCGCCCGATGATCAGCTGGACAGCGCGCATGTGCAGGCCGGTTTTCGGCACTGCCACCTACATGAAGGGATTATGCTCTGGAAAAGCCAAACTTCCAGGTTCTGGAGCGCATGCGTGCCCAACGATCAGCTGGCTGGCGCACATGTGCAGGCCAGTTTTTGGCACTGCTGCGCACATGAAGGCATCGTGCTCTGGAAAAGCCAGACTTCCAGGTCCTGGCACGCATGCACATCCGACAATCAGCTCGCCGGCACGCATGCTCACACCGATTTTTGGCACTGCCGCGCGCATGAAGAAAAGCTGATCATCGTGTGCACATGCGTGCCAGAAACCCAAAAGACAAACAGGCAAGGCTGCATGTGCCGGGAGACACTTTGGGCACACGTGCCATAGGTTCACCATCACGGCTCGATATCGATTTCAGACAAATGTCGTTCAATCTCTTCTCGGTCCCATTTTGATTGCAAAGCCAGCTGTATTTTTTAATTTTATTTTAGCCCGATGTCTTAGCCACCACATAAATAGGCTCTGCAAAGTACTTACAGAACTGCTAAAGTAACAAGCAGGGATATCCCAGTTATTCCAAGGATAAGCACAATGACACCCCTTTTCCTGAGATAATCAGGCTGGGACATTAGATCTTGGAGTGAGGGTAGCTTGTTCACCACCACTGCTTCCTGGACTGACTCCGGTGGGGAATTCAGGATGGCTTTAAACATTTCTTGCAGCTTTTTCTCGTTTCCGAGCCTCTTTTCTGTCACTGCAGTAAGAGAAGGGACACACACACACACACAACAAAACAGTTGGCCTGCCACTCAACAGCAAGGCCATTACGGGGTTTTTAGCAAGGGGTTCTCTGCCTGGTTGCTGGGTGGGCCTGGTCGTGCAGCGCTGAAAAAGAAGACTTAAGAAGCCTTTTCCAAGGTATGTAGAACAGCGATGGTGGGGGGGAACAGCTGTGCCGCACGATTTAGATTCGCTAGAAAGCAGGAAAGCAGGGTTTATTTCTAGCGAATATAAATCACAAGGCACAGCTGATCATCGGAAATACCAGTTTGTCGGAACCGGTAGCATTTTTTTTACTACTGGTTCAGGCAAACCGGTCCCAACTGATAGCATTTCACACCTGGTTATTGCTTTTTGTGTTGGGATTTTATCCTTGTAAGCTGCCTGGAGTTATTGAAAGTTAGTTGGACACAAATATAATTTTTCTTAACTAAATACATGGAGGGGGGGAGGTTTGGGGTGGGGGCGGGAAACCTTAAATTATAAGCTGCCCAGAAGTTGAGTTTGGAGCCTCAAGACTGAAATGTCAAATAAACAATTAGCTTCCCTATTAAAATATGGCATCCCCGATTTGAAGCGTTCAGTCTGTACCGCAGGAAATTTTGGCCCCTCACCGTTGACATAAAAATACTTCCTGACCACCACGTCATTCTCCTCTTCAAGTTCGCAGGCAAAGGTCCCGTGATGGGATCCAAGGGTGGGCCGAATGAGGAGGGAAGGGTTGACTCCAAAATTAAGGTCGTGGAAGAGAAAAAGTTCCTCCGTCCGGAGCTGTGGATTGAGGTGGAGAATCAGGTCCTGGAAGGTAATGCTTTATTTATAGGTGCTTTGGGGTCCTTGGTGCTCTCTGAGCTTGGAGGTTTTCTTGCAGACGTTTAATGACCAAACTAGGTAACATCATCAGTACGTTTAGGATACCTAGTTTGGTTATGAAATGTCTGCAGGAAAATCTCCAAGCTCAGAGAGTACCAAGGACCCAACAGTTCAACCCTGAGCTACTAATATTCTCTTCTATCAATTATAACTTTTAACTAGCTTTCAAGGTTTTGGTCACCACCTTTAGAGCGCTCCATGGCTTAGGACCTGGTTATTTACGGGACCGCCTACTACTACAAACAGCCTCCCACCGGCTAGTACGCTCTCATAGAGAGGGGCTCCTCCAGGTGCCGTCAGCCAAACAATGTCAACTGGCGGCCCCCAGGGGGAGGGCCTTCTCTGTGGGGGCACCAACTGTCTGGAACGAGCTCCCCCCGGAGATACGGAGGATCCCGGATCTGCGCACTTTCCGCCATGCTCTTAAGACCCTCCTATTCCAGCAAGCCGGCCTGGCCTAATTTTCTCCCCTGTTTTAAAATTCTTTTAAATCAAAATTTTAATCTGTTTTAAATTATTGGGATTTTTAATTGTTTTGGGCTAAATTATTTAATCTGGTTTTAATTATGTTTCTAACTTTTGTATCTATGTATTTTATTTTGTGCCTGTTCACCGCCCTGAGTCCTTCAGGAGTAGGGCGGTATATAAATTTAATAAAAACAAACAAACAAAACAATAACAGCTTCTCAAATGGTTTATAAGGGATTATAGGGTTTTACAAAATGCAAATAGTTACCATTCTTTGGCACACACAGATCTGAGGGAAATTGTATTTCCCCTATACAGGTAGTCCTCGATTTACAACAGTTCACTAGCAATCGTTCAAAGTTACCACGGCACTGAAAAAGTAACTTATTACCATTTTTCACACTTACGACCGTTGAAGCATTCCCACGGTCATGTGATCGAAATTCGGATGCTTGGCAATTGACTCATACTTATGACGATTGCCGTATCCTGGGGTCATGTGATCCCCGTTTTGCGACCTTCCCACAAGCAAAGTCAAAGGGGAAGACAGATTCACTTAACAACCGTGTTACTAACTGAACAAGAGCAGTGATTCGCTTAAGAACCGTGGCAAAAAAAAAAAAAAAAGGTCGTAAAATGGGGGGGAAAGTCACTTAACAAATGTCTCGCTTAGCAACAGAAATATTGGGCTCGCTTGTGGTCGTAAGTCGAGGACTACATGTATTCAAATGGGGTAATGCAAATTAACTACCCCTCCTAGTAAATCAATAAACCCTCGATTTATCAATCTACAACACCTTGATTAGAGACAATGTGTTAGACAACTTTAAAAGAGGCTGAAAGCCATTTGTGGACAATGTTAAATAAAATGACAGATGATTAAAAAAGGGATTTGAAGCTTAGTGTAACATTTCAGCTAATCTATTGACTGTTGTTTTTTTCTCTCTTTTACATATATATTGTGATTAGATGTTGGGTCGATTTATTAGATAGATTTTTACATCTGGTATATTTGTTTATTTAATATAGTATTTTTGCTAAATACAGATGGGAAACATATTAGGTTTTTTTATTACCTTTTGAGCATCTAGCCGGGGTAGATTCTTTTTAGGTTTATTGTTAGATTATTTGACATTTCTTTTCTCTCTCTTTTTTGTACACCAGAATTTTTTTTTTCCTTTTCATTGCTGGCGTTAGACGTTCGTTTTTCTGTCTTTCTGTTTTGCATTTTATTGTTGTTGATAATAAAAGATAATAAATATGTTTTCAAATCTAGAAGACACATTGTGTGGCCCAGGGGGCTGTTTGAGGGTAAATTCCCCCTGAAGAGCAAAAGATCTAAAGAACTTTTATCTCCTGTTGAATCTTACAGCTTCACAGGCGATCCAACCTCAATCCACAAAGAGTTACTTACATCTTTGACAAATTTCCACCGGAAGGTCCTGTCTGAGGAAGTCTGGAAGGCGACTTCGCAGTTCAGAAAAGTTGCGTCTCCTTCCAATTTGTGTATATCCTGAACTGGGAGAATCATGAAGATAATATCAATGGGTGATTTACTGCCACCAAATGCTTGCCTGCCCCTAATTTACATTAGCTACATTCACACAAAGCAATTACCCAGGTCAGACACAATCCACACAACATTACAGGCAGTCCTGGACTTACAACCACAATGGAGCCCCAAATTTCTGTTGCTTAGTGAAATATTCGTTAAGTGAATTTTGTCCCTTTCTTGCCACATTTGTTAAGTGAATCCACTGAGGTTATTAAGTAAGTCACACGGTTGTTAAGTGAAGCTGACTTCCCTATTGACTTTGCTCGTCAGACGGTCGCAAAACAGGACCCAGGGACACTGCAACGGTCATAAATATGAGTCAGTCACCAAGCGTCTGAATTTTGATCACGTGACTATGGGGATGCTGCAATGGTCGTAAGTGTGAAAAACGGTGAAATCCAGCAGGTTCTGATAGGTTCTGAAGAACCGGTAGCGGAAATTTTGAGTAGTTCAGAGAACCGGCAAATGCCACCTCTGGCTGGCCCCAAAGTGGGAAGGAAATGGAGATTTTGCAATATCCTTCTCCCAGAAGTGGGGAGGGAATGGGAATTTTGCAGTATCCTTCCTCTGCCACGCCCACCAAGCCACACCCACAGAACCAGTAGTAAAAAAAAATTGAATTTCACCACTGGTGAGAAACGATCCTAAGCTACTTTTTTCATTGTAACTCTGAATAGTCACTAAATGAACTCTTGTAAATCCAGGATTACCTGTATTAAACATTATTGCTTGGTCATTTTGTTTGGCTTTGATAAAGGGACTACCGTGTTTCCCCAAAAATAAGACCCTGTCTTATATTTTTTCGAACTCTGAAATAAGCGCTTGGCCTTATTGCCATGCACTCAAAAGCCCCGATTGGGCTTATTATCAGGGGAGGTCTTATTTTGGGGGAAAACAGGGTACATATTTAGTTTTGCATGTACTGACAGCAGCAAGGATCGTACTTGCAAAATGCTGGAAAAATGAGCACACCCCACCAGATGAAGATATAATTCAGAAAACGTTAGATTGTGCTGAGATGGACAGACTGACTTTAAAAATAAAAGACAAGGGAGACACAGCATATTACTTGATATGGGATAGATTTGATGAGGGGTTAGAGATAAGAGGTAGAAATTAGATGAAGAAAAATTATTATTGCTACGTATGAATTAAACATAAAGATGGTTTATAACTATAAATATACCAATATATTTAACAGAATTATAAAGAAGCCAATATAAAGAGAAGTTTAGCCAAAAATATTATACATTATTACTATTGTTACCAGTATATGTGTTAATATTTTTTACTGTCTTTTCTTTGTTTTTCTTTTGTAAATGACATTCCCTGACAATACACTCTATTCAAAATGTTTATGAATCATCATCATAATAAAATAAATAAATAAACATTATTGCTTGGTCATTTTATTCGGCTTTGGACCTTAGAGTTTGCTGAAAAGCCAATCTGTTAGCTCAGAGTTCACTGCGCCGTGCAACTTCAGAACATGGCTTAATTCAGAAGCCGGATGTCATGTTGTGTGAATGGAGCCTCCGGACTGCCTGAAGTTCTGAGGGGTTTCAGGCAGGGGTCTTTCCCAGCTCCTCCTGGATGGGTCGGGTGGGGGCGGCCTTTGCAGCTTCTTTAGCAAATCTCTAGTTTAAGTAGCAAATATATATATATATATATAAAAGGAATGGTTACTTGGGCAATCAATGGGTAGCTGGCAATCCATGATGGAACAAGAGGAACATCTGTAGTAGTGAGATTCTTTCTGATAGCCTGCAAGGAACATGAAAAGGGGTTGTGAGAACATAATGCCTTGGTAAGGCCACACTTGGAATACGGCATCCATTTTTGGTCACCATGATGTAAAAAGGATGTTGAGACTCTAGAAAGAGTGCAGAGAAGAGCAACTAAGATGATTAGGGGACCGGAAGCTAAAACATATGAAGAAGGGTTGCTGGAATTGGGTATGTCTGGTTTAATGAAAAGAAGGACGAGGGGAGACATGATAACAGTCTTCCAGTATCTCAGGGGCTGCCACAAAGAAGAGGGAGTCAAGCTCTTCTCCAAAGCACCTGAAGGCAGGACAAGAAGGAATGAATGGAAACTAATCAAGGAGAGAAGCAACCTAGAACGAAGGAGGAATTTCCTGACAGTGAGAACAATTCATCAGTGGAGCAGCTTGCCTTCAGAGGTTGTAGGTGGTTCGACACTGGAAGATTTTAAGAAGTGATTAGACAACCATTTGTCTGAAATGGTGTAGGGTCTCCTTCCTGAGCAGGGGGTTGGGCTAGAAGACCTCCAAGGTCCCTTCAAACTCTTGTTATTCTGATATAGAAGGAGAAGTTAATGAGGAAGTGGGGTAGATGGAAGATAGTGATATCAGCTGAGGAAGGAGGATTTTTTTTTTTTTTAAACAGATTTATGGACTTACCACATGGTGGAATGCAAGGTGGTGCTGTAAGGACAGGAGGGAAGTTGAGATGTAGTTTTTCTTTTTTCTTTTTTTAGTTTTCAACAGGTCTTTTTTTTTTTTTAATTTTATTTATTTCTTTACAACAAAATATTTATTCACACACAGATTGCGACGGGAGCTTTACAGAATATATTAACTTCAGTCAAGATATACAAATAAAAAATAAAATCTACACTAACCTTATCCTTTTTTTATTCTATTATTCAACCAAGTATACCATTGGTCCCAGCATTGAAAATATACGGAGTCCTTTTGATCTCTCAAAATTTTTGTTAACCTGCCAGCTTCCGCATATTCGATAATTTTTCCCAGGATCAAATCTTCAGCCGGTAAATCTTTCCCCTTCCAATGTTGAGCAAAACATATTCTTGCTGCAGTTGTGAGATATGTAATCAGACACCATATATTCGTGCCTATCTTATCTGGCCTAATATTTAATAGATAGTATTCTGGTTTCAGAGATGTAGTTTTTCTGATATGACATTTGACCACAACTTGAATGCGCAGATAGCAGATTAAATATGCTGGATCCCCTATTTTGTAGAATTGGTCGAAAGTCTTTCGCAATCCAAAAAGTTTGCTGCCGCCATTTTTAAAGGTTCTCTGGAAGCAGATCGTTTCCCTCGACTCAAACCGAGGTTGGTTTTTATATTTTTTAAAAGCTAAATCATCCAGCTTAATTGGTTTAATAATCCATCGGATTCTTCAGGGAAACTCCCGAGCTAGGTGTGATGGCTTTCTCAGCATCTACCCAGCCTTGAAGCAACTGATATTCTTAGGATTCACACCACAGGTTTAGCCTACCGAGTTAAAGAAGGAGCAGCTGCGTTCGCACAAGATGCTAAACTCAGCTGGTTTCCCCCTCAACGCCACCCGCACCTGGCATTTGGGTGAACCCAACTTGTTTTGTTTCTTCCAGGAACCACATGTAGGGTGTGACCCCGAAAAAGGAGTCGAGTCAGAATGGAATTCAGCAGGTCTGAACTAATCTGAGATCTTCAGCACTTGCTGATGTAGCCAGAGGCATCCTTTCTCTCTCTCCCCACTCCCTCTTTCTCCCTTTCTCTTTCTCTCTCTACCTCCCTCCCTTTCCCTTTCTCTCTCTCCCCCTCCCTCTTTCTCCCTTCTCTTTCTCTCTCTCCCTTTTTCTCTCTCCCTCCCTCCCTCCCTCTCCCTTTCTTTCTCTCCCCCTCCCTCCCTCTCTCCCCCCCTCTCTCTCTCTCTTCCTGTCTCTTCTCTCTCTTCTCTCTCTCTCCTTTTCTCTTTCTCTCCCTCCCTCCCTTTCTTTCTCTCTTCTCTCTCTCTTTTTTCTTTCCCTCTTTTTTATATCTCTCCCTTTCTCTTCTTTCTTTCTTTCTTTCTTTCCTTCCTTCCTTTCTTTCTTCTCTCCCTCTCTCCTTGTCTCTTTCTTTTTCTGTTTCTCTGTGTGTGAGAGAGAGAGGGAGGGAGGGAGGGAGAGGGAGAGACAGAGAGAGACAGAGAGAAAGAAAGAAAGAAAGAAAGGAAAGAAAGAGAGAAAGAAAGAAAGAAAGAAAGAAAGAAAGAAAGAAAGAAAGAAAGAAGGAAAGAAAGAAAGAAAGAAAGAAAGAAAAGTTCTGGTGAGAGAAAAGTTTCCCTGAGGATGGGCTCCTGCACAAGTCCAAAAGCTTGAAAGATTAAATCTCAGGTCTTGATCACCAGCGATCCTAAACCAACAACAGAAGGGTGGGATTCGATGAATAATTTTAAAAGGTAACAAATGTATAAAGACACCAAGTTTTTTTAAAAAAAGCATTTTTGTGCATTATATTTTTCATCATCTTTTTGTTTGCATTCCACCCTGCTGTTCTATGATAGCAAAAAAGTCTTGATTGATTGATTGATTGATGGGAGTGTGGGGGATAGGAAAACGGCAGAAACGGCCTCCGTGCAAAGCTAAGGATGAGAATCCATTCCAGGGCTGATGATGTTACCTTGCTGGGTAAGGAAACGTCTGCAAGAAAACAACCGGAGTGCAGCAAGGACTCCTCCATCCAACATCCAGCAACGTGTAGCAAAACTGCTTTTCCTAAAGCTGCAGCTCTCACCTTACCTGCTTTGAGTTGTGCTATTTCTTTTTCCACTTCATTCACAGCCTCGGGAACCGCTTCCTGGAAAGGAGCTGTGGAGAGAGAGGTGGAGAAACACCTACCGTAGTCGTTCTCTTTCCTTTGATCGAGGCATGTACAGCCAAGCGGGGAAACCTTCACACGGGCTGCCTGCCTGCTGCAGGCATGAATCTGGCTCTTCCAGACATTCAGGCAGCGACTGTGGCCTTTGCTTGAATTACTACCTTCTGGGCCTGCACACGTCCCACTTACTGACCAAGAAGGGAAGTTTTGCTTCGGTTTTATTGGTTAAAATGCTTTAAAGCAGGGGTCTCCAACCTTGGCAACTTTAAGCCTGACGGACTTCAATTCCCAGAATTCCCCAGCCAACTGTCTGGGGAATTCTGGGAATTGAAGTCTTCCAGGCTTAAAGTTGCCAAGGTTGGAGACCCCTGCTTTAAACGGTTTAAAAATGAGGTGCAAGTAGTCCTCAACTTACAATAGTTTGTTGAGTGACTGTTCAAAGTTATTGGGGGTCGCCAAAGGTGAATTTGCCACATGTGGCCTGATGTTGGATCGAAGGGTCCCTGGTGCTCTCTTGAGCTTGGTTGTGAAAAGTGACTTGTGACCATTTCTCACACAATCGTTGCAGCCTCCCCGTGGTTATGTGATTAAAAATAGGACGCTTGGCAACTGACTTGTAGCTATGACGGTTGCAATGTCCTGGTTGTTAAATGGGGCAAAACTCACTTAACAATTGTCTCACGTAGCAACATAAATTTTCAACTCAGTTGTGGTTTTAAGTTGATGACTACCTGTATGGCAGGGAGGGAGGAAGAAGAGAAAGGGAAGGGAAGGAAAGGAAAGAAGAGATGAAGAGAAGGGAAGGAAAAGGAAGGGAAGGGAAGGGAAGGGGCGGGAAGGAAAGGAAAGGAAAGGAAAGGAAAGGGGAGAGGATGGGAGGAGAGGAGAGGAAAGGAAAGAAGGAAAGGAAAGGAAAGAAGAGATGAAGAGAAGGGAAGGGAAGGGAAGGGAAGGAAAGGAAAGGAAAGGAAGGAAAGGAAAGGAAAGGAGGAAAGGGGAGAAGAGGAAAGGAAAGGGGAGAGGAGGGAAGGAGAGGAGAGGAAAAGAAAGAAGGAAAGGAAAGGAGAGATGAAGAGAAGGGAAGGAAAGGAAAGGAAAGGAGGAAAGGGGAGAAGAAGAAAGGAAAGGGGAGAGGAGGGGAGGAGAGGAGAGGAAAGGAAAGAAGGAAAGGAAAGGAAAGAAGAGATGAAGAGAAGGGAAGGAAAAGGAAGGGAAGGGAAGGGAAGGGAAGGGAAGGAAGAAAGGGGAGAAGAGGAAAGGAAAGGGGAGAGGAGGGAAGGAGAGGAGAGGAAAAGAAAGAAGGAAAGGAAAGGAAAGAAGAGATGAAGAGAAGGGAAGGGAAGGAAAGGAGAGGAAAGGAAAGGAAAGGAAAGGAAAGGAAAGGAAAGGAAAGGAAAAGAAGTCTATAATTGAATCACTAAGTCTACTGAAGGCAAACCTTTTGGCCTCAGTGTGTCAAAAATTTGGAAAGTGCCCAGCTTGGCTTTGTGTGTTGCACACACTCAAACAGAAGAGAAACATTTTTTTTTATCTACCCTCCATCTTGGCCACCCTGAACATCAACACTCAGCAGTAGCTGAACGATTATAATTGTGAAATAGTTTCTCTATAGCAGTGCTTCTCAACATTGGTCACTTTAAGATGCATGGACTTCAGCTCCCAGAATTCCCCAGCCAGCTATGCTGACTGAGGAATTCTGGGAGTTGAAGTCCACACATTTTACAGCGGCCCAGGTTGAGAAATATTGCTCTAAGGGGTTAAGCTATAGCTGTCATCAACTAATCATTTCCTGAACAGGAATTCTTCTGTTTATTTTAGTAATGTGATTTAATGGACCGTGGGAAGATTATAGACGCTGTCAATGCAACAATATTAAGAAAGAAGGGGATAAAAGCAATATTTATTTTTCAGCTTTCAAAGGTCAACTGAAGTTGTCACTTCTCTGTCTTGAATAATAAAAGAACCACCTTGCAGTTGATAAAATAAAACTGGAAAGTTGGAAACAGCTCTTTGCTCTTTAGAAATCTCTTTTCCAGAGAATCTGGTGAGCATTTGTGAGGTTCAAATATGCTTGGGAATACGATTTAAAATTGATTTTCAAACATTATTCTTCTAGTTGCTGGCTATCTGATTCTAAATAATGTCACCACTGCGTGCTGCAGGTTATTTTATTCTGTTAACTGGTTCCAGATTTCTTTAGTTGATGTTACTTTTATTTAAGCCAATCCTTGCTGGGAAAACCAGTTCTTTTTATTCCAACTTGGGCATGTTTAAGACGGGTGGACTTCCAACTCCCAAAATTATTATTTTGTACTCATTTCTAAAGATCTAAGTGCCCGAGCCCACTGTAACAACATTGCCAAAAAGGCATTACGAGTTGTTAACCTAATCTTGCGTAGCTTTTCTCTGGTAATGTACTACTAACTAGAGCATACAAAACATTTGCTAGACCAATTCTTGAATACAGCTCATCTGTCTGGAACCCGCACTGCATATCGGACATAAATACAATCGAGAGAGTCCAGAGATGTTTTATGAGAAGAGTCCTCCATTCCTCTACCTGCAATGAAATACCTTATTGCCACCAGACTCCAAATGTTGGTCTTAGACAACTTAGAACTACTTCAGTCTGACCTAAGCATAGTACATAAAATTATCTGCCACAATGTCCTTCCTGTCAATGACTACTTCAGCTTCAACCACAACAATACAGGAGCAAATAATAGATACAAACTCAAGGTAAACCGCTCCAAACTTGATTGCAGAAAATACGACTTCAGCAACAGAGTGGTCAATGCCTGGAATGCACTACCTGACTCTGTGGTTTCATCGCAAAACTTTAACCTTAAACTGTCTACTGTTGACCTCACCCAATTCCTAAGAGGTCTGTAAGGGGCGTGCATAAGCGTACCAGCGTGCCTACCGTCCCTGTCCTAATATTCCTTTTTACTTATTCTTTTCATGTATTCAAATTGAGGAATACCTGCATTATATGGGCTGTATGCATTTACTCTAAATCTATACATGCAACGTTTTCTAAAGCCAAGAGAGAAGAAGTAAATTTTCTCAATCCAGAAGACTTCTGTAGCATAAATATGTCCTCCTCCACTACATATACGCTACAAAGGTCACCCCAAATCTCTGTCCGCTGGTCTTGGATCTCACGAAAAGGGCAGGAGATAATCTCACCGATGCAGCCAAGATCTACGGAGGACACCTACCTTTGGCCATGCCTTTCTCTTCCAAATAGAAAACCACCCTGCCGAAAGCATCCTTCAGCTTCTCTATTTCAGATACATCTGGGGCAGAGAGACAGAGAGAGAAACAGGTGTCAAGTCTTTGTCTATTTCTGAGCGGAAGGACAAGAGCTGGCCTTGAGGGCAGAGGTGGAGATACAACTCTTAGGTCAGGGCAGAGATTGCTCACATGAAAGACTTCAAGCCAAGATCTAAAAAAAGACAGGAGCCAAGCATCTTTCAATTATATTGTTTTTGTTTCCTAGTACGAGTTGTTAGCTTATTAGTAACCTTGACTATCACTAAGCATTGTATCTTTTTATTCTTGATGAATGTATTTTATTCTCCTTATGTACACTGAGAGCTTATGCATCTATCCTATCCTATCCTATCCTATCCTATCCTCCTATCCTATCCTATCCTATCCTATCCTATCCTATCCTATTCTATTCTATTAATTCTACTCTAGTCTAGTCTAGTCTAGTCTAGTCTAGTCTAGTCTAGTCTAGTCTAGTCTAGTCTAGTCTAGTCTACTGTACCCTACCCTACCCTACCCTATCCCCCCAGAACTTTATAATTCAGTGTTTTTCAACCTTGGTGACTTTAAGATGGATGGGCTTCGATTCCCAGAATTCCCCAGCAAAGCAAAGCTTTATTGGGGAATTCTGGGAGTTGAAGTCCACCCATCTTTACGTCACCAAGGTTGAAAAAAATAGGGTATTTTAATAGAATCTGGAAAGCCCGTCCAAAAATTTTCACCGCCCCTTTTTAAGGACAGCAAAATCAAGGGCTGCTCGGTGATGCATTCATGTGCTTTCTATTTTTCTAGCACTGACCAACCATTTTGCCTCTTCTCCACCCAGTTTAATTCCTCTTTCACCTCCCTAATAATAGGTAATCCTGGACTTACAACAAAAACTGAGCCCCAAATTTTCATTGCCAAGCGGGACAGTTGTTAAGTGAATTTCTCTCCCCCCCTCACTTTTATGATTCACTTTTTGTGAATCGCTGCAGTTGTTAAGTTAGTAGCACGGTTTTTGTTCAACGAATCTGGCTCACCCCATTGGCTTCGCTTGTCAGAAGGTCGCAAAAGTGGGATTCTCAGCATCCCGGGACATTTTGACCGTAATATGAATCGGTTGTCCAGCGTCTGAATTTTGATCACGTGACCATGGGGAGGCTGCGATGGTTGTAAGCAGGGGTGGGTTCTAATTTTTTTTACTACCGGTTCTGTGGGTGTGGCTTATTTTGTGGGCGTGGCTTGATGGTCATGTGACAATTCTTTAGGATTTAGCAGAGGTATTGGTCTACCAGGCTTTTAACTGCTTGCAGAGCTGCACCGGTCTACCCATTTGTTCTTGTCTAGTCTACTCACTTGTCCAGTCTACTCATTTGTTTTGGGAGGCACCGGTCTACCACCACACTGCCTTTTAACACTGATCAGCTGTAGGGCGGCCCTTTGAAGCCCCGCGGCAAGAGTTTAAACAGTTTTTTTCCTTCTAGCCATCAGCTGGGACTCGGGAGGCAGCAAATAGATTGGGGGCATGGCCAAATAAAAGGTAAGAATAATGTCTCGGGACATGTCCCCGGGAGGGCCCAGCTCCCGAACAAAGAGAACCGGTTCAGTGACGTCATATCGTCACCGCTACTGGCTCGGTGGAACTGGGCCGAACCGGGAGGAACCCACCACTGGTTGTAAGTGTGAAAAGTGGGCGTGCATTATTTTTTTCAGTGATGTTGTAACTTTGCATGGTCACTAAACGAACTGTTATAAGTCGAGAACTACTTGTAGCAGGGTTTGCTCTGCCTCACCTTTCAGGTTTGTGGCGTCTTTCTGGCGAAGGGCCTTCTGGGAAATAATAAGCTAACTCCTTTCAAAATACAGAAACCTGAGAAACGGTGCCCTGAGCTGCTCCTTAGTTAGGCCCACAGGGAGCATCTGGAACTCTCCCCCACTGGATGTGAACATCTAAGGCCCGCCAGTGTCCAATTTCTCCCTTCCCTGGACAGCAGCACTCACCCACCTGAGTCTTGCTCAAGGGACGGAAGGCACTTTCTAAAGTCCCTAGACAAGTTTGGTGCTTCTCACTCTGATAGCCCCAAAAATATTGGCATATGCGAAGACGCTGGGCTGCGGTGGAGAAGCAGTTAAGGCAAGCAGTTGCCCTGGAGGAAAAAACCAACCAGAGAAACAGGACATCTCCACCAGACATGACTGAAGTCTCCAGAAAGAGGCCTCTGAGAAAAGAATTCTTCCCTGGGGTCATAAGTCAGCTCCATTTATGACTTCATAACTCACAGTACGGCAAGCCATGGGCTGTTGAGAAAGGAATGCCTCGGTGGGAGAAGACCGTTCAGGCAGTTCTCGACTTACGACCACAGTTGAGCCCGACATTTCTGTTGTTAAGCGAGACATTTGTTAAGTGATCTTTGCCCCCATTTTACGACCTCTCTTACCACAGTTTATTTATTTATTTATTGGTTCGATTTATATGCCGCCCTTTTCCGGAGACTCAGAGCGGCTTACAATGCGTTAATTCGCAGCGCTGGCTGGGGGATTCTGGGAGTTGAAGTCCACCCATCTTCAAGCTTCCAAGTAAAGCTTCAAGTAAAGCTTCTAATTGTGTCATTGTTGGCCACCGAGAGGATGCACAATTGGGTAGAAAAACAGAAATGGAAATGTAAATAGGGAGTTCTGGGCTGAAAAATTATTCTCTTTTTCCCCTATCAATTTGCATATTTCATATTGACAAAGGGGAATTTGTTTTCAATAAAACAAATTTCATTTATTTCATTTGTTTCAATAGACTTGGATAAATTCCTCTGGAAAAAAAACATGTCAGTCACTGGAATTGGTTTTACCACATCAATTAATTGCACTCATTTGATTAATATATTAATTACCATTGATTATACCCAGATTAATGAAACACAACATCTGGCTCGCCCAAATTTGCTTTGCCCAAATGAATAAAGCATGTCTTTTTATTTTTTTCAAAGCTTCATGTTCGCACATTTTTTTGCCTAATCCAGCCTATTATGTGCACCTAGTCAAGGCATAAAAATGTCCGGTCTATTCTATGGTGGCTTGCAGTTTATCTGGTTTCTTCTGTTGTTTGTTTGTTTTTCCTCAACCCTAAGGAGAAAATAATAGAAGGGAATGCCCCGTTTTAATCCCAGTGCGGTCATTGGTCCAAGGAGGCTGACCTCCCTTTTTTTGTGAAATACGGAAACAATCTCTTTCCCCTGGAAAAATTAGGCAAAATTGTCCTTCCCTCCCACTTCTCTGCCCACAGGGTCTGATCAGAGGATTTTTCAAAATGCCTTCTTGCTGAATTCAGTTTGATGTCTTTGCTTTGGAGGATTTCCAAATTCACACCTGTTCTCTGCTAGGAGTACAGCAAAAATGGCTGCATAGCTCTCTCTCTGTGTGTGTCTCTCTGTCTGTCTCTCTCTCTCCGTATCTCTCTTCCTTTTCTTTGTCTCTGTCTCTCTCTCTCTGTCTCTGTCTCTCCCCGTGTCTCTCTTTCTCTCTGTCTCTCTGTCTGTCTTTCTCTCTGTGTCTCTCTCTCTCTCTGTCTCTATCTCTCTGTGTCTATCTCTCTGTCTCTCTCTCTCTCCATCTCTCTCTCTCTCTCTCTCTCTCTCTCTGTTTCTCTCTGTCTGTCTCTCTCTCCGTGTCTCTTTCTCTGTCTCTCTCTCTCTCTCACACACACACACACATGCACGAAATGGATAAATGGATAGATGCTTAGGTGCTCTCTGCTGAAACAAAAGAGGCTGAGAGAGAGAGGGAGGAAGGAAATTCTCCAGGCTGTCACAAGATGAGCAGCGGGTGCCCTGGGCTCCTGCAATTCTGGATTTTCCTGGCATCGTGACAGTCAAGCGTTACGTGTGCAGAAAGCTAGGATGGGAAAGATGCAGGATCTCGAAAGCCAGACTCCGGTCTCCATGGAAACCAGACAGTCCTACTCGAAGCTGGGGTGAAAAAAAATTACATCTTTTAGAGACCGAAGGATGGTGGAGACGGGGGTGGGGGAGAGGAACTGAGATGGTGGAAGAGGTAATCTTAACCATGACAACTCGATCGATCAGGAAGGGATAAAAAAAAACAACACCCAAGGCTGCATCACAAACCCAGCCGCCGCCGTGTCTACCTGGAGCCTTTTGTCCTTGACAATTGCCAACTCAGTCTGGTTTTTACATACAGTCCCAGGTTCCCCATTGTCTATTTGGCTTTGAAAAATACCTGTGTGTGGGGGGGGGGGGGAAGTCCAGGTGTGTGTTTTGCTGCAGTAGGTGAGAGCATCTAATTAACCTTGGCTTGGCTCGGCTTAGCACACGGATGGGAAAGTACCAAAGCATTCCGAGGGAGCGGGCGGGGTAAAATCTGGGAAGTTGCACAATTTTTCTATTGTTGCCCAGAAATTGCATCAAGGGACCGAGCCGGATGTGATTGTGATTGTTTTAAAAAAAGAAAAGAGAATTAATTTCCTAATTTGTAGATGGAAGAAATGCTTCGGGTCTCCCATCTTTGGGGTAGGCTGGAGGAAGGTGAAATCCACTCTTCAGGAAAACCCATTACATGTTGATCCCTCTTAAGGAAGATTGCAAGGAGTTTCTCCAAAATTTGAGCTGCAGGAAACTTCCTCCGGCTGCCTCCTTCCATTTGATGCCCTCCGGGATTGTTTGGACTACAATTCCCAGCTGTACTCAGCTTGCTGGGGAAGAAAATGGTCTTTTCAGTGGGAAGAAGGAAAGGATTTATTCTGTATAAAGCTCGGGTTAATCTTCCCTGGAGCATTATGGGTCAGTCAGCCTCTGCATTTTTTTTTTTTTCAATTGCAACCTGGCAACAATGAGACCAGGCAGTTGGCCAGCAAAAAGGTTTGATCATCGCTCCTCTTTCCTCTGTAAGCTGCCCCGAGTTGCTTTGGAAGAAATGGGTGGTGTAGAAATGTGATGAACAAATAAAATAAATAAATCATTTTTGACCCAGCAAGACTGATTTAGTCCCTCCTGGATCTAATTTGGATGCTGTCGGAATCCAAAAAATGAGCATG